TATAAGGAGACGTGACGGATTTTGTGAATAAAAGAGTATGTTAATGATGATTTGTGTACGATACGAGTTATGTAAAAGAAGATTTTTGTGTCGACTAAGCACCGGACTGTGCACGGTAGACATACTATATGCACCGGGTGCGGACTATCTAAGCAATAAATTTTACTTTCGACCCCAAAGTTGCCCCTGCAAAGTGAAAAAAAAAAAAAAAATTAATTTCAGTGTTTTTTTTTTTAAGCTGAGACTACAGCCAAAGCTACAAGGGCGAGCTAGCCCGCGCTCATGGCTTTGAGACGTGCATTTTTAGGGCGAGTGCTCGTTCTACGAAAGAACGCTTCAAAGCAGCGACCTCGAGTTCTCGTGCTTGTGGCATTGGCTGCAGTCTCAACTTCAGGGTGTAGCTCTCACCGCGCTGTCAGCTTATGGGTGAATGGAGTAAAGTGCGCTGCAGCGCGCCGCTTTCCGGGCGACACCCGGCTTCCTCCTCGAACAACTCGGTTCCCCACCAAGTGCCGAAGCTGCCTATATCGACCTCGGGCTGCTGACGGCGGGGCACAGCAGCTGGCGTCAACAGCCGACCGTAAATATACAACGAGTACCGCCACCCGTCCTCCGTTCGCCGCGCAGACCTTACACCTATAGATGCGCGTCCCGGTTTTCCATGTACCGTGCCTACTCGAATACAGTTGGGGCACTTTTCTGGCGCGTTGTCTCTGATCACTTTCTTCCAAGTTTAAATGATTCGATGCAGTCCGTTTATTCTAGGTAAAGTAATTGTGCTTTGTTTGTGTTTACACAACAAGAGGTTAGCCAGCCCCCGTGGGCGCCCTGTGTCTCCGCTTTGGACTGGAGATCTAACCAGTGCAGTATCCCTGCAAGCCCCAGTGGGGTCTTTGACGTGGGTCATGCAGTAGTGATACACGACTGCACGCCGTAAGGTGCTCATCCAGATCGTAACGGGCAGGGGTGGAAATTGGACCCGCGATCTCTGGGCTTTGCAGGGCCAGCGTTCGCTTCACGTGCTCCGAGCTGCGGTGCGTTAAACACTAGGTCACAGTTCTCCCATTACTAGACCTGCACCTTGCATATTGCACTGGTGCAGAGCAGACAAGTGTAGGGCGCTCTACTTCCGGTATGTGTATTAAGATGCGGCCGGAAGTACGCCGCCCTATACTTTTCTGCACCGGTGGAGGAGCTGCAGGGATATCGAAGGAAGCTAATGTAGGTAGACTGTAGTCAAGAAGGCGGAAGTGTTATGGACAGCAAATGTTTTGCTTAGGTGGCAGCGAGTTACGCACAGGGTTTCCTCAAGAGAGCGCAGAAATGAGCGCACCATGAGAGACTTTTCATCAACGAGCGTGCGTTATAGTATTATCCCTCGTAAAGCCATATGCTTTAAAATAGGCTCAACAGGAAGCTTGACGTTCCAAAACGTGCCGTCATGCGAGGTTTTGACAGTTGCGTTGGCCCAGCGTTAACAGAGTCACAGCTGTTCGTTGCACCGAATGTGCTGTATCCAACGTAACAAGCGATGCAAGAAGTAGCTTCATGAAGCAATCATGGCTCATGCTGTCCCGGTGTCGCTTTCATGGTTGTCATTGTGGTTGCTTTGGACGCAACTGACGCCTTCACAGCAGTTAAATGCATACAAGATACAAACCGAAAAGGGTAAAGCCACTATTTTTATTTAAAAATTTGCGGCTTTAAAGTGTCTCATACGATTTAAAGCCCCTTAACAATTTGAAGAGCGAAGCTAGTTGGTGGAAGTTAAACACAGTGTAGGTGTAACAACGCGTAGCAACGAGGACTAAGAAAGGGGACACACAACACAGGACGAGCGCTGTGTTGATGTGGTACGTGGTTGGTCACCCGGCATAATCTGGAGGCAAGGTGTAATTACAGTACACATAGCGAGAGCGCGTTGAAAAACTACAAAATACACAAAAAGAATAAAACACGCAAAGGACGGACACAGACACACAAGGTTCTTTCAAGGAGCAATGAACATTTATGAGATGCCCGTGATGCTACGACATTGAACTCCAAAAAAAAAATGAAAGAAAACCAAAATGCTCAAAATTTAAAATAAAACCAAGGTGGATTTGTTAATGTATTGCGCGTGCACAAATATAACATTATACATTTGGGAAATACGGTTTTTTGGGATTCGTCTAGTCTGTGCGATGCAGGAACAGTGAGCTTTTAATGAAACCAATTTATTTTAATTATTGGTTCGTCTGGCATTCATTCCAATATTCTGGCTTGATGGTAGAGGTAGACGAGAGGACAGAAGAAGCTGTACATTTTACAGACGTCACGTTACCAGAAACTAAGTTCTATTTGAGCGATTGTAAAGTGAGAGATACAGAACGAAGTATTACGGGCAATACTGACCTAACTGATCTTTTCTCGCGATTCTAATAAATAGCAGTACACCCGCAGGCGTTATGGAGGTGAACGGCGGACCGTCGACCGATACGTGCCATCAGCGCCATGACGCGGCTGCCGTGGCGGCTTGCTTTCTTATCGCGCTCTTCGCCGAGATTAAGCGCTTAGATTGAGTGCTGTTCTCAGCTCTGATGCTACTCCCCGCAGAAAGCGTGGAAGTGGGTTTCGATTTCGGCATCGCTTTTTGTGGGCGCCCCCGTCATTGCCGGCAAATGATTTGCACATTGCACGTGAACTAGAGCGGACGTTCTTCGGCATGGTTTATCAGTGACTCAACCAATTTTTTCATTCATGAGTGAACGCTATACTTTGTTTCAGCTTAGGTCCGAGCGCGGCCTATTTTATGAGCCGAAGGGCCAATCATACAGCGCCAAAAGCGCAGCGTCATGGCGTGCTCTTTGCGCTTTATAGAACCAGCCGGCAGAGGAGCACGCACAGAGAGACGGCGAATACCGGCTGGTCCTATCAACTGCAGAGAGCATGCCATGACGTTGTGCCCCTTCCGCTGTTTGATTGGCCCTTCGGCTCATAACATCGGCCGCGCTCGGACCGAAGCTGAAACGAAGTATAATAGAGAGTTTTAGACTGTAGATCGCGTTTTCAGGCCACGCTATTTGGAGCGGGAGCTCGCGCTACCCCTTCGATGCATGCTCCGAAGCGCGCGCCTGTAGCGGTAGCGGGCCTTTGAAAACGATCTACTAAACTCTCTATTAATAACTGCGAAAGCTAATAACTGTTTTTTGTTTTCTTTTTAAGAAACGGAAAGGATAAGTTACTCTTTGATTTGTTCCGCAGCTTTCCGGTTTAGCAGATATCACAACAACAACAAAAATTACTAAATCACATTGTCTACCGATAGCGTCTGAAAGTCTCCTTCCGCAATCCTCGCGCTTTCTGCGGGGAGTAGCAGGGGAGCTGAGAACAGCGCTCGATTTAAGCGCTTAATCTGAGCATAGCCTCCTCTATACGGAGAAAGCCTGGCACATCGACGACGGAGCAATAGGGCGCGCGGCCGCAAAAAAAAAGGAGAGGAGGAGCGCGCCGAACGGTGACCAATATGGTAGCGCGGAGCAGAAAAGGCAGACCTAGACAGCGAGCGCTTGGGTCATGAGCGGCCGCTCCCCGAACCACGCTTGTTTTTGTGTTTTCGTCACCGTCGTTTTCGTACCCCGGGAGAAACGGGCGCGGCGATTCGAAAGGGCGCAGGAAGAAGCGGGAAAGGGTGGACGTTGAGTTTCTCCTCTTCACGATAGCGACAGGAAAAGAGAGAGAAAAAGAAAAGGTTGTTTCTGCGTTTGGCCGCTCGCTCTTTTGTGGCGCTAGCAGCAAAGGTTCTCTCCGCTCCCGTTTCTCCACCCCTCCTTTCCCATTTACGGCGGCCGTCTTTTCACGCGACGCGCCAGGCTTTCTCCGTATAGAGGAGGCTATGATCTGAGCGAAGAGCGCGATAAGAAAGCGAGCCGCCACGGCAGCCGCGTCATGGCGCTGATAGCACGGACCGGTTAGAGTTCCTGTATATGCTACCTACCGTAGGGAGCCTATACAGGAACTCTAGGACCGGTCGACGGTCCAACGTTCACCTTCATATCGCCCTGCGGGTGTACATACAAGTATGACACAGATTTGTGTTTCCAGTGTGATTGCGTCAGCCGCGTAAACAAAGAAATTTATTTTTGTTTGCCAGATTCAGGGAGTTTCTACGTATGTTAAAAATGAGTCTTGATATGCTAAACACAATTTCACACGCCACAAACGTTGCTGGAGCTCAGAGGATACTCTGAGCGACAGCGGAACAAGATAGACGACATCTTACGGGAGGATAAATAGATGTCTTGCCAAATATGAACCTATTCATGTTGAGTTTAACAGAGGCAATGATGATGCCTGTGCCCAGCCAACGGAAGAGTACACTTTTGACCGATACTTAGAAATTGTAGTCATTGATAGCTTGAATAACGCCGGGCGTGACTTGCTATGTTCACGATTCCTGCTTCGTGATTCGTTTTTCGGCGTTCTTATCGAATAATACCGCACTTTTATTGACTGCGAAGTGAATATAAGATGCACGGGGTTTGCCCTGCCCTCCATTTCTTAAGTCGGGGTCCCATTGCTCATAAAAAGCCGGTCGTGGGTCATACATCATACAAAACACAGTCTGCAAAACACGAGTCACCACAATATCCGTGGTTCGAATGCCGAGTGCCCAAGTTTTCTCTTTGAACTCATTGCCATGCGGCATTCGAAGCACGAATCTCGAGGTGACTCGCGTTCGAATCTGTATACGGACTGTCCTTCGGTTGATGTATTAGCACTGGCAGTATGGCCCCGGCTTTAGGCTGTCAGCGACTACAATCCTGCTAATAACGCGTGGATCGCTTAACTGGTAGATGAATCGATTAACTCCGCGACCCCGATTCGGGGGTCAGTGCTCCAGGTTGAGTGCTTGCACTGACGTAATCGTGGTGCGTAAAAGATCCCGCAAGTGTTTTACCTTTTTTTTTTTACGGCCAAAACGTTTTGGGGTTAATGTCAAATCTCTCGCTTACTCGCAGGCCTGTTCTTCATCATTCCGTGCATAGACACCTACTGCAAGGTGGACCTACGGACAGTATCCTTCGATGTTCCTCCTCAAGAGGTAAGTCTAAGTTTGTCTGATTTTGCCGAGGCGAGCTAACTTTGACCCCAAACGTAGTAATTGTGTGGTGTGTATGCTCAGAACAGCGGAAAGCTGTGCGAAACGCAAGGTCGCCTACTTGTTGTGCAGGGGTTACAGTCACGTTAGAACGCGACGTTCTCTGATTGGCTCTGATGGGAAAGACAGTGGGCAGACGTCAGTGCTATAACTACCTTGGATGCTAAACTCGTCGAACACAAAGTTTGGGCCGAAGTTCACGAAACGCACTGATTGGACGATCCCGACGATGACTTGGCACTTTTTTCGGCGGCGTCCAATCGGCGCGCTCCGCTAACTTTGGGCTCCAACTTTGTGTTCGACGAGTTTAGGGTAAACTCGTCGAACACAAAGTTTGGGCCGAAGTTCACGGAACGCACTGATTGGACGATCCCGACGATGACTTGGCACTTTTTTCGGCGGCGTCCAATCGGCGCGCTCCGCTAACTTTGGGCTCCAACTTTGTGTTCAACGAGTTTAGGGCCCCTTGAGGTCTACCCACTGGCCATCCTTGTTGAAGCCAATCAGAGCACGGCACGTTCTGACGTCACTGTAACCTCTGCACCATAAGCAGACGAACTTGCGCTTGTCAGCCCCAATGGGTGTCTGGCGTATTCGTCGTAGATGAGAAATTTAGCCGGTGCGATACCACTGTTAGCCTGGGGGCCTTTAACGTGAATCACACAGTAGTAGTGATGCACGACCGCACGCTGGTACGGTGCTCATTCAGATCGAAAAGGGCTCGGATTGGAGACCCAAACGCAATTGAATTTTCGTTCTTAATTTAGGGCCTAGCCTTATCGTGTAAACAAAGAATACTCACTCCTCGCGGGGGTAACTTCCTCAGCTCTCCGCCTGCCCCAACAATCTAGAGCATAATAATCTTATGGAGGTTTCTTGAAAACCGCTCGTCCCAAATATACATGATGCTTGAAAACCTGAAAACTGTAGTTTGAAAAATGGAGACTCGTGAAGTGAAAAAAGAAAGGGGCAGACAACGTCTGTGTCCCTTTTTTTTCACACTTCACGAGTTTCCGTTTTTCAAACCACAGTCTCAGGTTTTCAATCATCATATATAACTTATACCAGCTCGCCTGCACTTTAACCGCTTGTTCATTGATCTTCCCAGATATCCGTTTTCAAACCTCACGTAGTAGTAGCACCATCTCACATTATTGCCCCGTTAAAGACAGAAAAAAATAGAAATAAAACGTGGCAAAGAATAAAGCGGAATAGTTTACTGTCATAAGATCAAACGAGACTTTATATAAAATAAGCTTAATAAAAGCGGGGCATTCGAACTTAAACAAACCTACCAGAGAACCATTCTTTTTCAAAGAATTAAACGTGACACACACTCGGTTATCCGGGACATCGGGAAGCTCTGGGAAGACGGCCATCTATTACGAACACTCCCCTATCTCAGTGACGTCTTCCAATCTCTAAAAGACAAGACTCGGTATCTCCAAACGCAATGTCGACAAAACACGGCAGAAAAAAAAAATCCTCCATTTCACAGAGGGAGACGCGCGCTAACCGATCACGACTTCGACGCCACCGGTACGTAGGCCGCGAGAAAACAAAATAAATGAGGAAAAAAGGAGAGTCGATATCATCCCGAAATCGCGCGCTAGTTCTTCCTTTCTTATCGTACCCCTTTTCTTCCCCTGTAGTCGATTTCCCCTGCCAGTCGGAAATAGCCACTTTCCGATTCGGTTCGTTAAAGCTCACGCCCTCGGGTGGGGCTATATGTTGGCTCCTTTCGAGCCTCAGACTTGGCTTGGCTTGGCTCGGATGCGACTGTCTGGGAGCGCGCCCCTTTGATCGTCGTCTCTGACTTCTTACTCCCCACGCCGCTTTCGAAAGGGACTCCCCCCCACGGGTAGGGAGGTGGTGATCAAAGAAACGAGCGTTTTCCAGAGGTCCTAGATTTAAGAGAGGAAGCAACTCAATCGTGGAGAGCGTTTGCAATTTAATGGTGAACGCCTCTAGCGCGGATTAGGTGCGTGTGCGCATGCGTGGGTTGTTGAGTGGCGAGGATGACACAGCGGGGGTGGAATAAAGGAGCAGTGTGGAAACACTTGCACACCACCATCGGCGCTTTCGACTCTTCCACGCAGCTCGTATTGCAATCGAGGCCCATGAAACACGGGACCCCTATCCAGCAGTTGGCAATACTCCGCAATCTAAGCGCACTATAGTGTTCCCCTGGACCTGTTTTCTTAGAAGAGGTGGCGTCTTTGTAAAAGAAAGGGACCGATATATTGGGCTGCCGGCAGGCACCACTTTCGAAGCCAAGGGCGCGCCTCCGGGGGCCTAAAAGTGCCCGAGAGTACCGCTGAATAAATAACGAAACCGCGCGTTTAAAAAGCTATCCCCCAGAAGCGACCCCGCGCTGCGAAGCCCGGGGGTATAAATGTCAGGGGTTGCGTTCAAAAGGTTGACCTGTGGAAGTAGCTGTGATATAGCTTGAATAACGGATCTTGTGGGCTGCTTCAGATTGTACTTTTTTTTTTTAAATGAGTCGGCCTATGGTTTCTTTGTTGACAAGACGTTTCGGTGACCGCCCTTTCTTTTTGATTTCTATAGTGGCGTCGCGACGAGGACTTTCCCGATGGGTTTTGTGATATTGGTTCTTCTTATCGTCAGTTGCGAACAACTTCAATCACGCGCGTTGAGGACAATGAAATCTTCAGGGCAAAGTTCCGCCTCTGGCACACGCTTGTTGGCTTCCGTCTTGCTTTGACTGCGCGTGCGCTGAATTGCTATTCAAAACAGAAAGCTCGTGCTTAAAATATCCCATGCTCACATAAACGCCGTTAAATGGGGCGTTGTAGCATTGCAACATATTGCCGTTGATGAGAGCAGAATTATACTTCTGTTTTGCGAGCATCCAAAAAGCATCACAGAAATCCTTTAATGAATCGGCAAATCAGCTCGCGATCTCGACAAAGCGCGTGCCCATTCGCGTGAGCTGAGTCGCTGACTCGTTAAAGGCGTTGTCCGGTAATATGTTGTGTTTTGGAAAGCAACTAAATTATATTGTCATTGCTTTTATGAATATCTTCCGCAAAATATCCGAAATTTATTCCTCCTTCGCGCAAGTAATTCAGTTAAAAAAAAAAAAAAAGAAATCACAAATGCTCAGATGGCACCCGCAAAACGAAGATCGTTTTCGTTGGCAACAGCAGAAACTCTGACGCAACATCATGTAAAAGAGCCACGACAGATCTTGACTGCTTTCTTATTAAAATAACTTCGTTCTAAGAAAGACGAGATTTACGGTATTGAGGCAAGCTCAATTCTTCGACGATAATCTTTGTACGCACCATCAACCATGTCGATCGAAATCGGGGACAAGCCAACGCCCGAAACTCTGACGTTAGCATGCCTGATATGACGTCAGAGTTGCGTTGCGTTTAAAATAAATAAATACCATATGTGGTCATATTCAGGCCCTCTCCACGTGACCAGCGCAAAAACTTCGTAATTGCCGGATATCAGCGGACGATCCCTTTAAAGGTGTTCGTCCTTAAAGACTTCTTAGTATCCGTGAAACAGGGTTACAAAATTCACTAAAGACGTCATTGATAGCTTATGGCTAATATATGGAAGGCCAATAACAGCGACGTTTTTGGTGGTTACTGGTAGCCGTAGCTGGCGGTACGCTTCTCGAGTGCCACACCTTGATGGTGTGGCACGCCGGGTGCGTGCCACACCATCAAGGTTCTTTCTTATAGTTGGTGCAAGACAGGGCCGTAACCAGGGGGGGGGGGGGATAGGGGGTTCTGACCCCCCCCCCCCCCCCCCCCGAAATTTTTTTCTGTGTACGGCCCTGGTCGGTGCACTGGCAGCCAGCCGATTTTAATCTCCAGCTCTGCGCACGCGCAGTGGCGCTGGTCGGCTACCGGGTACCAAACCGGGACCGGATCTCCGGTTTGCTGTAACTCTCCATTATATGCCACCGATACACATGATTCATAGGCGAAAATAAGACAATAGACACTTTCAAAATGGCCGCCGTTGTCCCCGAAAACCCCCCCCCCCCCCCCCCCCCCCCCGAAATTTTTTTCTGGGTACGGCCCTGTGGGAAATCGTACGCACGGAGCATAAGACTTGTGTTTCGACTGGGGAACTAAAACGTGAGTTCTACATTTGACTCCGTTCTGGTGTCTCAGCATCCCAAAGTTAAAAAAGTATCATCTCTATCAGGCTGTCCCCTGTGTGTGTACTCATAACATTATAAGTCCGAAGAGTTAATTTTGAGACCGTAAGTACAAACTAGAGGAGATGAAACAGTGCTGATTCCTCGGTCCCATATCTAAAAAAAGAAATAGTTCTGGTGTGGTGGGGAAATGTCATACTTAATACCCGCTCACTATGGTAGCAGCCGGTTCCTGCAATGCCGCTGCACCGCAGCTCACTAGTGTTTGCGGGAAAGCTGAACTCTTTCAAACGAGGAAAATACCAGACCTGTAAGCGTTAAAAAAGAAAAAAAAGTAACTAAATACGTTACTTGATACCGATTCTCAAAAGGAACGCGTTACGTTATCTTAAAAGTAACCACTTACTTTTATTCTTACTCTGACGGCCAAATACAGAACTGCTTTTGTTTCATGGTTTATTTGTTTTCGATTCAGTAGTCGTTGCTGCGTCTCGGAAGTTTTCATCGGTTATGTTCCCCCGCTCGCTTGAGAATACATCTTTGGCGACGCTGAAGAGTCGTTCTACTGACGCGTTCGAAGGAACGGCCGGATTGTGCTTTAGGCAGAGCTGGCGAATCTGGGATCCTTGTCTTTCTTTTGTTTTCTCCGCTTCTAAAGTTCCAAGTTGGCAATGAGATCTGTGCCTTTTCGCGTTGACAAGTTCCGGGTTTACATTCGGTCTGTACACGATATTAGAAGGTTCAACCTACAAACTTTATTGTGTTCGCTGGGTGAAGGACATTCCCAGCCCTAGCGTTCGACTGACGTGTTCACCGATAAAAGCTGCTATACTATCATACGGTTTAGTTGTTTTTCTTGTAGGGGGGGGGGGGGGGCGGCGTGGGGGTTGTTTATCTGTTTTTGGCGCAGCAGTAGGTGCATACTCAGGTTATAATTAAAACCGGGCTGTTTAGACGGTGCAATGTACACGTTATTCTACAAAAGTAACAAAATACCGTAGCTCGTCACTTGGTCCTAAAAGTAACTAAGTATTTTACTCCTTCCTTTTCTAAAAAAAAGTAAATAAATGCCTTACTCTTTACTGAAAAACGTAACTAGGTAGAAGTAACTCGTTACTAGTAACGCGTTGCGTACATGTCTGGGAAATACTGATTCTTTGCGTTTTGAATACATTGTGGCGTGGTGCGTACGCAGGAGCTTTGAGTACACAGGAAAGACAGAGAACGAAAGAAGCAAGTTTACAAACATTCAACCCCAAATTCAGACTTTGAGCGATTTCTCAAGTTGCTTAGTTTTCCGGTCTCGGGTATTCGCACTATTAGTCTAGTTTTTTGTTCGTTTAGTTTCCTAAGGTTACCAGATTGGCTTAGAGCCATTGTGCCGATGCTTTCGACCAACCTGGCCGCGGTGCTATCGAAGACGGCGACACGCCTGTTGACACGCTACGGTATATGTCTCCCCTTTTTTTGCGCAGATACTGTCCAAGGACTCTGTGACAGTGGCCGTGGACGCGGTGGTGTATTACCGCATCAGCAACGCGACGATCTGCATCACGAACGTGGAAGACTACGGCCACTCCACCAGGCTGTTGGCCGCCACGACACTCCGGAACGTGCTGGGCACCAAGAACCTGTCGGAGATTCTGTCCGAGCGGGAATCCATTTCACACGTGATGCAGGTAGCACATCCCTCATTCTGTCTATCTCTACCCTTGTATTTTTTTATATTCCACTTTTCCCCAATATCACTCTGTCTCTCGATCTTTGTATATTTAGATATTCTTGTCAATAAATCTGTTATATTATCTTGACCTCTATCACTACCTATCTATATCTAAACTGGATGAACTATAATCCTAGGACTAGGGAGAAAGACAACGATGAAGGAGAGGAAAGAGATTACTCTCTTCCCTTCATTCATCGTCGTCTTTCTCCCTAGTCTCAGGGTTATAGTTAATTATGTTTAATCATTACTAGCTCGTTTACGCCCCAACATTCTATCTATCTCATATCTTTCTATCTATACATCTATGTTAGGTCAATGAATCAATCAGTCAAATTCTATATATCCTTTTTATCTTTACTTACCCATTTCTTCCTATCTTTCTATCTATAGACCTACGTTTACGGCAGTCAATCAATGATTCAACCAATCAATCAATGACTCAATCAATCAATCAAGATTTCATTTATATTTCCCTTTATCCTCCTGTCTATACGTCTATATCCATCTATCAATAAATTAAATTCCATCCATATTTTCTCCCCCATCTAAACTGTCCAGTATAGGAGGCAAGGGTTCGTAATTGGGCCTCTGCAATCGAGGACAACAAAAATGCAGAACGTGCCAACTAGAGTCACCTATGCTCAGAGCATCGGCACTCTTTTCCCCATTGTCCGACGCAACCACGACGGGGAGGGTGGGATTGCCGCGACTCTTCTCGTCTCGTTCAAACGTCGTATCTGTTACCGGAGACCTAGTTTCGCGACACTAGACTCGCCAAAAGGGTGTACCGGGTGCATAGGCCTTTAGAGATCTAAGCGCGTACGCGCCTAAAATATAAACCCTCTAAAACAAACAAAAAAAATTAAAAAAATCATGAGAGCTTAGTGTAGGCACCAAATCCGCACCTTAGAAATGACTGGCACCTTTTGTCTCGCAGGCAAGCCTGGACGAGGCAACCGACTCGTGGGGAGTCAAAGTGGAGAGGGTGGAAATGTAAGTGGCGGCCGAGAGCAGTGCTATCTCGAAGACGGTGCGCAGGCCTTTCCCCTTCTAACGACATCACTAACGTCATCACAGGACATCCGACTGAATCCTGTAAATCGGGGAGAGGCTTTTACACTTATCCAGTCTCTTTAAAAACAACGCTATTGCATTGACGTCATGTCAGCCGCCATTGCTGCGTACCATGTTCCAGTGCCCGTACTTTCTGCGGCCATACATTTGGCACCATCGAATCTGTTTTTCTCCGCAAAGCTTGCCAAGAAGAACACATTCGATTTTGCGAAACGTATGCTGCAGAAGTAGCGGGTACAGTGTTCTGTAGTGCGGGCACGGGAGCGTGGTACGGAGCGGCTGGTACGTGCCATATGACGTCACATGCAAGGCATTTATAGTCACTCAACTAGTGAGAACAGCAGAGAGGGGCTTTTGTACCGCCTCCAGCGCGAGCTTCGTACCTTCGACAACGCTTCGTCAACTTGTGCATTTCGAGCGCCCGCGCTGCCAAAGCCCGGTGGAAGGCGTGGAGCGCGTGCTGGAGGCCGGGCATTCGAAATACGCACACTCTGCCGTTCTCACTCTGTCAGTGACTATAGCGGAACTTCGCAACGCCGTCTGGTCTGCGTTAGCGTCGCCGCGAGCGCGTCTCTGAAACGTGCGCGGCGGCGCCAAGAGGGTGATGTCTGCTGCTTCGCAAGGTATACTCTCGCCTAGCCTCAGCGTGGTTGCCGTTCGGGGGTGGGGTGTGTGGTCGGGAATCCCGCTAATGGAGACGTGGTCTGGAGGCCTTATCTTCGAGGCGGTATTGGCGATATGAGCGTCGGATCGGCTCGGCCTGACTCCTGGTCTCGCTCTCCGGCCCTTCGCAGAAAAGATGTGCGGTTGCCGGTGCAGCTGCAAAGGGCCATGGCGGCCGAAGCAGAAGCTGCTCGAGAAGCAAGAGCCAAGGTGGGTGTTCCTTGGACACACGTCGGCCCAGTCGGGATGGACCACGACCGTTCCGGAGTTCAAAAACAGGAACTGTTGCCATGAACCCTCGCGTGCATACACACTCACAGTCACATCCTCGCAATCATTGAAGTTTTTCTTGTGTAATAATTTATTAATTAAAAAAAATAACCGTACTGATGATTTGGAAATGAAAATTTCAAAGCCACCAAGAAACAAAAATGAATGGTGCCAAGATTCGAATTCCGGCCTCCTGATAACCGATCAGGGACACTAACCACTGCATATTGTTTCGTATATTTATTTGGATAACCACACTGCGTTTGTATAGAAATGCCTCAACCTCGATTGGAATCGTATAACATGTAACTCCACGGACGAACGCAAGCAGAGGCCGTTCCTTGCTTCAAAAAAGTAAAAAAGTTTTCTTTTTTTTAATTATTACCTGTATACATTGTTTCGCACTACAATGGGCCACACGAAAAGACTATTGGTCGTCAGGTTCAATAACGAGCCATTAAAAAAAAAAACATGTGGTATACTATAGCCTCCTATATATTCACAAAGCCTGGCAGTTCGACGATGGAGCCATAGAGTGCCCGGTCGCAGATTCGGAGCGCGAGGATTTGGTAGCACATAGCATCAAAGAGTCATTTTTCGGGGAACCTGGACTCTATCGCACAGCTTTTGGAGCGGCGAGGACCCGAAACACACTTGTTCACTCGGGAGAAATGTGTTTCAGTATCTCTCCACAGCGGGGCGCCAGTCACGTGGCTGTCCTCTCATCCGTTGTCTACTGCTCCACCTTTTCCATTTCGGCGGCCGATTCTCATGACAATCTGCCAGGCTTTGGTCAGTATATAGGAGGCTATGGGTATATTGATACGACGCCCAGATAGGCACGTGGGAGCAATATACCACGAGGCTCCTAACTCTCATGGTTGTGGTAAAACAAATTATAGTTTGACAAATAAAAACAAAAATTGGTTCATATATACTTTGATCAGGAAGGCATTCAACAGTATCTCTATTCTTTCTTTTTTTTTACCTTAGAAAAGGCATTAACATTAGGCTAGTTTCGATGCTCCAAATATGGTATTTTCAATTAAACGATATGTTAGAATTAAATTTATGTTCCGAATAACCAGGCGATGCCTCGCAGTAAAAAGCAGCTTAATGGTAATAAATGGCCCTCTCACAAAGTAAACGCTTTGTACCTTGTTTGTTCTTATTTTTGTCTTAATATATCGGCTAGCGTAAACTTCACTCAGGTTTAAGCAGACTACAATTTTAATGACCCTCCACGGGTCACCAAATTCCTTATATTAATTACGAGGGTTTTCGCCAACCCCAATAGTCAAAGTTCCTGAAACTCAGTACACAAAAATAGCTACTATAAAAAAAAAAAAAAAAAAAAAAAACACTGTACTTTCTGAAACCCTCAGATTGACAGCCACCCGATGTTTTGCTAAAAAAAATCGTAACCTACCTAAGGTTGAATGGTGCTGTCTTTTAGTTTCCAGAAAGATTTTTTTTCAAATAAATCCACAAAAAGAATTAAAGAGGATAAGGTGTTATTTTACTTACTACGTTTCTTCGAGCGCTTCTTTTTTCGCGTGCGTGCATGACGTCCTAAATAAGAAGGCCTAAGAGCTGAATTTTCCTGCATCACTAAAAGACGCCACCCATGGCGCAGATTGGACCGGACTGCGGCGCCAGCGTTCGACTGGGGCTCGCGTTCTTACTGGTTGGACAAAAGTTCTAGCCGAATGCTGACATCACTCTCGTGTCCAATCTGTGCCACAAGGAGGCCTCTTTTAGTGACGGACACGCATCAATCTGCGGACACGCATCAATCATGTGCGGACCATGTTTTGCTCATACATGTGCATGCCTGAATCATGTTTGCAGACGGTTTTTGAATGATCAACGTGACAGGGCCGTCATACAAGGAAGAAACACGGCTCTTCTGTATGATGTAGTAGCAGTGTAACCGCAACTTAAAAGGTAACTCCAGTCAAAAGTCGAACCAAAATAAAACGACTGATATCGATTTACCGAGACTAAATACGAGTACTGCCAAAATATTACACTCATGGGAAACCCCGATCCACTCTAAAATCGAAGAAATTCCACCAGCAGCTTCTCAGCAGGCATTCATCAGGTTGGCTGTTTCTCAAGCAACCTTGTGCCCCGACGTCATGTTCGTACTCAAGGAGGTTACTTGTTCCTAGTGCCACTTCTCTCGCCGCGTTTTTCTGATGCGTTTTCAGCGAATGATTTCTGTTTATTATGCGTTGTTTGCAAGTGCTCTTCGGCGATTGCGTACAAAGTTTACTGACTACCTGCTCGCTCAAGCGCGTCGTGGTGCCGAAGGTGACATTCGCTGGCCTGGCGGCCACTGTTTGGTCCGTTCCTGCTCAGCGCGAGCTTACGATTAGCTTCCACGACGCTTCTGCAAAGTTCATTACACACCACCAAGATTCTAGTTATTTTCAGAAGCTAAGTGAGGTCTAGTTCTGAGCCTGCGCTGAGCCTGCCTTCACCGTGGCGAGCTCGCTTTTCGGCCTGAAACTTAATGAATACGTATTAATACTTGCTGCAGATGTTTGATGTCAATGAAGCAAAACAGAAAAAGCAGCCGTAGCATCTTACCTGACTGATCGGCACTGCTCTTGCGACTAAGCCAGTTGCACGTTTTGCGGTACCGCGGTACGAACTTTACGTCACACTTTGGCCATGCAGCTGATCACAGGGGTTGTCATCACGCTTGAGCCAATAGTTTCAGATTCGCCGTAGTCCCCCGAAACAAAAACTTGAAATACATGTCTACAAAACTACACGAGGAATCGGAGAAAAAAATACCCCTTATTATTAAGGACACTTACTTCACTAAGAGCAGCAGTAACCCTAAAATCGTGAAGATGTTCAGTGCGTGTCTTCGAAGGCTTTCTTATCTAAAAGGTTTCGGTGCGTGCCCCTTGTTTGGACACGCAACTGAGCCCTTTGTATTATGCCTTCGCCGCAGGTGATAGCCGCAGAGGGCGAGCAGAAAGCTGCCCGGTCGCTCAAGGAGGCCGCCGAGGTGATCGCCGAGTCACCGTCGGCGCTCCAGCTGCGCTACTTGCAGACACTCACCTCCATAGCGGCCGAGAAGAACTCCACCATCGTGTTTCCGCTGCCCTTGGAACTGATGCGGGGCTTGATGCACTGGCAGCAGGAAGAAGACTGAAGACGCCTCGGAACGTCCTTCCACCCTCGCCACCCACTTCGCCGCGAAATATCTTCACGTCCCCACCGGACCCCGACGGGAACCGAGGGTTTGAGAAACCGACGCGTCCACACTCTATAGCAAGCAACCGGAATGCTGTGTCCAACTCCCCACTTCCCCACCGATTCCCATTACGACTAACACGGTCGAGTGTGTCAGGCACTCGGGTTGTGTGCAAAGACCGCGTGCCCAAAGATTCGCAAGAAAAACACGAACGTATTACGCACCGTATATATACATGGTACGCGTTGGGGCAATGCGTCCAGGGTCGCATATTCGCCCTGCTCGTTGTTATGCAGGTTGACGAGGTGCTTGACGTCGGGGCGAATTATCTCTTTGGAGTAGCCGATTTATTTTTACCGGATATTCCATTGCATTCATTTATTTCATATACTCTGTTGTACTTTAAGTCCGACCGCGGCCGACGCTAGCTCGATCATGACTCGAAGGAGTCATATGATTCGTCTAGCTTTTCGGTGAAGACCGCGACTTCGCGCGTTCCTCGACGGTGAGCGGTGCCCTTTGGTTTCCTCTTAGCACCATAACCATCTTGTTGGCCGTGGAGCGCTGTTCCGTGCGAAGTGATTTTATTGGCGTCACCGATTCGAGCGCTTGTCCAAAATGCCTTTCGTTTGTACGAGAGACAAAAAAAAATATATGCTCAGCAAATGGGCGATTTTAAACTCTGCAAGGAGTACGAGCTTGATTATGCGATGACGTCACCCGAATATGCGACCACGGTATTGGGCGCTGGCGAATACTATTTGGAGGTTGACGATAGTAGGGTTTTTAATCATCGCGCGCGATTACGTTGACATGCGCGAAGGAGCACGCACGACCTGGAAGCGGGCACGGGCGGCCGAATCGAGTAAACATCGAGGCACCGTGTCCTTTCGTCTTTGCTCCAACTAGATAGGCTCTAGGGCATTTATGGACCATCTAAAAGTGTCCAGTAAATAATAGCGTCTGCCCATCGGAAGTTGTGGACACTACCCACGCGCAGAAATCCGTTTTCTTTTTCCTTTTCTTTTTTGAAGAACACTTGACCCGCGCATGCGCCAAACTCGAGTTTCTGAGGTCACGTCCAAAACGAAAGTCGTGTTTCTAACGTCACGCCGCGCGACAGAGCATGTGCGGATGCTTCGCTCTTCGAAACCCTTTTATCTGTGTTCTTGGGCAGTGCGCACATCCCCCGATAGAGAAAACAAAAAGCGGGCAGCAGAGTTTTCATAAAGATACGAAAGATAGTTAATTGTACTCGTTCATCTTTACGAAGCTGTCAGTGGCTTAAAAAGCCGGCATCGGTGCTTGGTGTTATTACTGTCCCATGTTTCCAAAAATAATCTTGGTTTCGTTGTAGGCTCATCTTCCCGTTTCAATAACCGCGTGGCATTTCATTCGTGCAATATTATTGGTTTCATGTTAAAAAAAAATAATAACGCTAGATTTAAGACCTCAGGCAGCATCTAGTGCCCACAAGGTTCGCTTCGTTGTCTTACGTAAGCGTGATTATTGTTCAACAATCACGTGACTCTGACGTCAGAATTTAGGAGGTCCATCAAAGAGTCGACGGCATGCGACTTCTCCTTAGTTCGTTTTCAGTTTTCCCGCGGGATCATTAGAGTGACGTCATGAAGGCAGTGAAAACAAAACAATCAAGCCACTTTCACATAAACAAGGAATGAAGATTCTCTAGGACAGTTTACACCTTATTTGAAAAGTAGCACTTCGAGTTGTTTCCTGCAAGGTAAGGATGCTTAATGTCTATCAATATTTTACTTTTCAAGACGACATAGCACGCTCGCAGTCCTTCAGTGCTTGCCCGATTTGTTAACTGCTTTCACGTCGTTGCAGTGCATCCCCAACTTGCCACAGAAGTTGATTATTTGTCTCGTTATAAAACAAAGAAATGTTCGAGAAAAAAGAAGAAAAAATAGAAGAACAAGTGAGGAACTTGTCGATTTTTGCTAAAGGGACAAAAACTGGGACACAGCTCGAGAGTCCGTCCACCGAGAAGAAGGTGACTGCACGACTGAATCGCCTGATACATCTAATCCTGTGTCCATTCAAAGATGGTGCTTCTGGAAGTGTCTACGCCGGCCTCTCTAATTTTTTGTTTAATACGCCATTGTTAAGAGCCTATAAGAATTTCCACAGTATATCTGGACACCTTCGTGAACTGAATGATAATATATCCTCGGCAGCACGCCAGAGGAACGCCTAGCCTGGACCAAGTTCGGCAATCCTATGGGAACCTAATTTGAACTTAATGAGATTTTTTCTCCGGTACATTAGTTTTTGCCAAAGTACATTTCAAGGGCTTTTCTATGGTTTCTATCTCATTCGCCAGATAAATGGCGAAAAGGCCAGACTTCAGCCGAAAATGAAACATGTCAAACATGAAACCAGCACATAATTCTGGTACTGGTTTTGAAATTTAGGCTCAAAGTTGCCAAATGAGAACCGACCAACCACAATTGAAGCCTACTTCTGGCGCATCTTTGGCAATCTACGGAATCAAAATATCCAGACTGGCAAAGAATATCAAGTTTTTGGTTGTGCCTTGGGTTTGTTGGGTCTTTCAGGGCGCTAAGTGCCTGAAAAAAAACAAAATGTTTGCCCCCAAAAGTTTATGATAATTAGGATATGAGCAGGCTGCCACGTGTTCTGTTGTCGTTTCATGCCGTCCGTGTCGGACGCAACCGCACAAGAGAATTGGCGATGCTCAGAGTAAATATATTCCGGACGGTTTTTTGTTTTTATTAATTTTCGGCGATTACTATAAGCTGAGTAGTCCGTCACGAACTCTAACCCAAATATCCACCGACGTACCAAGAGTATCCAAGTGGACACCAAATAATGTCTAAAAATATTATATATATATAAAAAAAGCGTTTACGATTTGGGACCGCAGATGCATCATAATAAGTAACAGTTGCGAAAGAGATAAGGGTATGCAGATAAACCGCGTTTCTTTCCGTAATTTTACATTAAAAAAAATCAAGTTTGAGGTTATATCGTTTGGGTCCCTGAGTGAAGCTTGTATCACAATGTCGTCGTGCAGTTCGTAATACTCGAACCCAAATTATTCCACGACATCTCGAAAAACAATACTAGGCGCAGTTCGACCCAGAGCGCATATATTCGGTCGCTTCTGGATGCTCGCATCGCGAATAAGAAACGGGACTTCTTTCAAAAAGAAAAAAAAAAACATTTTAATACAAATACAAGGCAGTACTGAAAATTGGATTATGCTTCGACTTCTGCAGAACCCAATAAAATGCCATTCCAACCTTTTCTTCTTTTTTTTTCCGATTTGCAGTTTTCTACCTGCCTGGGGCTTTATACCCGTTTTAGTACGGCAGAAAAACCGTGACAAAGACCAACCAACAAAAAAAAAAGAATTAGAAAAATCGGCCACGACGGGGTGTCGTTATATGGATAACGTAGATATAAAGTCGACTCCGGTTGCGATCGACACTGCACACGCGCTCTCTCAAAGTAATTTTAAATGATAAAAAAAAAAGTTGCTGTCATCGGATATGTTCGCTGTGGCTTCATTTTAGGTGACGGCGAAGCTGGCTGACCGACGGAGTCTTATGTGGATTATAGCCGAAGTGTTACTTTAAATGAATTTCAGAGGAGTCAGTGTCCCAAAAACAGTAAAGAAAGACTGATATATTGCAGCCGTAGGCGGGAGATCGGGTTACTGCAGTGAACTCCGCTTTATTTCTGATGAATTACCGAGTACGTATAAAAAGGAAACAAAGAAAAGAGGGCGAAGTCACGGAGGAGCTGCATGATTTTGTAGCGTTGCAAATTTTGACCATTCGTCCGATTTCTTTCTTTACTTTTATATATTTTTGTTATTCAGATCTTACTTTGGGGTTGAAACAGGAGGCAGAATAACGGTAATTTCGTTATCGCGCTTGATTTCATTTTTACTCTATCCCAAAAAACAGAGTAAAATCATATTAACCTTCCAAGTGAAGTTGGACTGAACATCGATAGTTTTAGTGAAATCCCCTAGGGCAAAGTAATGTTTTCTGTAAAGAAAAAAAAAACGATCAGACATAAATATATATACATATAAAACGAAAACACGCACGCAAGAGCATTATTGACAAACTGAAAAAAATCCGCGGTGGAAAAAAAAAAGCGAGGTTGTAGTGAGTGTAAGTGGAAACTTGTGCGGTCCACAAAAACAAATCGTGGTGGGGGAACCTCGCGTCGTGGCAAACACCATTAGGAACGCTTATGTTTTATCATATTAATTAGAAAGGGGCATGTTTTAAAGATACGAAACATTAACTTTTTGTTTTATATTTTACAAAAAAAATTTTTTTTAAAGTACAAAAACAAAAAGCTGTCTCGTTTTGCGTTGGTCTTTCACATGTGACCATTTGGATCATATGTTTGAGGGCTTTACCTGGTAACGTATTCGCAACTCCAGCTGCGTGCCTTCTATCCCCTCTCTGACGTTTAACATTTCGGCCACCAGGACGCCCCAGTATTCCCTGCATGCTTGAATGGGCACTAGCCATTCAAGAAGCGAAGACGAAGTTTACGTGGGATTAACAGTTCGTGGTTTCAGAAGGCAGAGAAGGCGGAAGGAAAGCAAAACAAAGTACGTTATGACCTTCTTTTCCGTTTGCTCAATTTTTTCGCGCATTAATGATAAGAAGCAATACATCGTGCCACTTCCAGGATGTACGAAATTGTGTTCTATTGTAAATGCGCACTGCGCACTTCTGTACCGCTGCCGGATTTTAAACGCTGTGGATGCGACTGTCTATGTATACACGTTCATTTGAACAACGATCACGAGGGAACGTAAATCAAAATCCGAAGGTTGAAAACGAGAGATATGGGCGCTATTATATCTTAAACTGATTTCAAAACCGAAACGTGACTTTGCAGTTAGAAAACCGGAACGCGAAACGTTATGCAAATTCGAAGATTTATTAGTGGGCCGTTTTCCTTTTTTCCCGCTCCCTTTGTTTCTCCCATTAAAGTTATTTATCGTCTTCTCCGTGATAAAAAAAAGAACACAATAGAAAAAAGGGGAACCGAGTAAAGGTATAGCTTGGCGAAGAATTCTGCTTTGAATCTTTTTTTTCTCTTTTTGATACGCTACTCGTTTCCGCTCTCCTCGTTTTTTTTGTTTTGTTTTTTTTTAATTTTTTTTAACGCATGCACGCAGTCTCACGAAATAATTTTCAAAAAAAAAAAAAAGGTTTCCTCTGTATTGTTACAAGGCTCAATAATATAACGGCGGTATACCTTCATGCATCATATTTTACTGCCGATATTGAGACTTTAATTTCCGCGTTTGCTTGGGAAATTCTTCCTTTAACAATCGGTCGCCTTTGACGATAAAACTGAGTTATTGTCGGGTGACCGTGTCGTCACTTGGCCCTGACGAGACAGTAGAGGGATTGTTCCAGAACGTTATCCGCTATCAAACATGATATTTACTGTTACGTTAATGTTTCACGTTTTGAATGCGCCGCGACCCTGGAGCTGCCGTAGCCCCCAAGCTAAGCCCACCAACCAAAAAAGCGCATTCCAATAAAAAAATGTGGCCCCGTAGATACTTCCAGAAGTTTCCCAGTGCACAGTGGCGACACCTTAGTCGAGAAGACTGCCAATTCTGAGCTGTGAACTGAATCAAGCAGAACTGCCGAATCTACCAACAGATAGAACGAACAAGAAGCGAGGTGTACGCGTAGTTGTTGTTTCTAATTAAACGCGCTTTGCGCGTGCGCAGAAAACTGATTTTCGAGAAGCGAAGCATCTGGGCATGCGCAGTTCGACAGCCAGCGCCACCACAATGGCGTAAGGTCAGATGCCTGAGCGGCGAGCGCGCAGGTGCTTCACTTTTTGAAAACGGGGGCTTTTCAGTGGGCCTGCGTCGGCGGTAAGATTGCTGTGCTCACGGGCTTTTATACACCGCTGACTGTTCTGGTTTCAGTGTGCCGCACCTCCGATGCTCCAAGAGTTGTTACTAGGCGACGTAGTTTAACTCGTACGCCGTCCTTATAGACTCCTCCTGACCTCATGTTCCTCTTCTTTAGACCTTTCAATCTCTCTCTTTCACTTTACCTTCTCTCCCCCCCCCCCCCCCCTCCTTTTTCCCCGCGACAGTTTGAATGTTTAAACGAGACTCGAAGTCTGACGCGTCTTTTAACCAACTTCCTGCTCTCTAATTTATTTTAACCTGGTAAGTTGTTTGTTTTTTTCTGTGCCGAAAATACTGTTTTCTACATGCAGTTTATTTATTTTTTTTTTTTTATTAAAGGCGTTGTTTGCTTTTTTTTTTTCGGGAGGCATCACACTATTCTTTCTAAGGACCACCGCAACGACACTCAAGTCGGTCGAAAATTGTTTAATAACGGTTTTATTAACAAATATTACGTATTTGCAACTGCCGTTAAAAACAAAATGAAAAATAAAACATGCGACCAAGAAAACAATGTTGCGAGTCAGTGAAGGCGATCCGACTTGAATTTGAAGTGTATGCATAACATGAAATATATTTCGACTATTCTCACAATGTTTCGGTGAAAAATTTCGTCCAAAATGTTTCGCCCAAACGTTTCGGGCAAAATGCTTGGGCCAAACGCTCGCAGATGTCTGGTCTGAGCACTACCTTAACAACTTTTTAGAGAACCAATTTTATGTTCGTTGAAAAGGTCCTTTTAAAGTTCGCAGATAATCAAGGTCCCGCAGTTCTGTCTGTGCCACTACGCTCATTTAAAAGTTCACCGAAGTGAGTCATTGAGCCACAGTGGATGCTGCACGCCTGGGTTTAAAAAGAAAAAACGCCAAGTCAACCTCTATCTTTTTCTTTTCCTCTAGCCTTGTCTGGACCTTTGACTCGCGTGGCGGCGAAGCAATCAGTCGTTGTTAGTGTTGGTCGTTTGTGTCCTTGTCTAATTGGGATTTTGGCGGTGGGTTAGAGTAGCGCCATCTTTTAGCGACACTGTTGTGACGGCTTGTATGTTCTGCCACGCTTGTAACCAAGAAGAGTTGAAACAGAAACATAAATGAACGTCCACATGAGACGTTCTCGGCGGGGCTTTTTTCCCTTTATCCGGAAAACTTGAAAAGAATCACCGGGAAAGCGTAGCGTGTGCGTGGAGTAGAGCCAGATTCAAAAGCTTCGTCGTTACTTTTGAGAGATGTTGTCATGAACATTTCAAAATCAACATTACCCCTAACCTTCCTCTGTCCTGAGCATGCGGATGAACCCTCATAGCTTGTGTGCATTTTGTGACAAAGCTACGATCAAATATTAAAACGTCTCAACTAGAGGGCATTATTAATCAAGGTGATTGCTCTATAAGCAGCTCGAAAAAATAGGCGGTTGCGCAAAACGCGCTGCATTTTACCATGTAAAGTTTCAAGGCGTAGCTCTCTTTCCGTGGAAAACTAAGCCAACATTCTAGATATTTTCAACGTCGAACACCGGCACAACCAACGTTGGGCACAACCGAGGATTGTGTATGTGGCGCCATCCCCCAATAGGTGCACAAGCAGACGGACGACCCTCGGTCGGAAGGAGTCCTGACCTTGCTGCGTCTATCGGTAGATGGCGTTACGAGCACTACCTTCGGGTCACGCGGCTGTCTGTGTTAGAGTCGACCGCCGAAAATATCGAAGGTGTTCGTCGAATCTCTCTAACTTATCAATGTTTCGAGAACCACGACTTGAAACCTTACAAGCTTAGATGCACTACTAAAATACACCTTTAGTGAAAGTTTTAGGATCGCTACGTGCAGGAACAAATTTTTAGGGCTGGTTTTGTAGCGATCACTTCGATTCATAACGCCCTCTAGGTGTGTTTTTTCTTTCTCTCTCCAGTGTTGAAATGGGTCCGTCTGACAGTCGGTCTAGGGTTGAATCAGTGCGAATGTGCGCGCGTTTTCAATATTCTTCAATCGCTGTGTACCTAGCTGCGAGTGAAACATTCGCAAATGTATGTGTGTGTGCGTTTGCCTGTCTTTACGTAATTTTCGCCGACGATCTACCGTTTACCGCCAAATTTTGGCGCCCAACGTGAGAAACACCTTCCCTATGCGGGCTCTCACGTGGCCGGCCCTTGCTCACGTGGGGACTGACCGATACATCAAGTTACAATCCTTGTAGGCCTAGAAACTTTCTCATCAAACTCGAGTTGTGAAAAGCGAAAAATCAGTCCACGACGAGACGCGAATGTTTTTGGAAGTGTTCACTGACCCGCGCACGGGCGCGAAGGGGCTAGTGTGCGTGTTGTGTGAAAATGTGAAGGTGCGTTTCATGCGCTCGGTGGTGCATAATGTTATATTTGTATAAACCTAAGGCAAGAACAACCGCCACGGAAAAAGTCTATGTATACTATTATACATGCGCTGTATACATAATATATAAATATATATATATTAGAGAAAGCGTGTTATCGAACGAAGAAAACATTTATTTCTTCTTTTCGTCGAGCCAATTTATTCCGGTAATACCTACCAAAAAAAAAAAAAAAGAAAACGCGGAGGCGTTTATACGGAATACGGACGAAGCGTAAACGTTCACCGAAATGCACGCGCTCCATATATTTTATTTCCCGGAGTAATTATTTGACGACCAATAAAGACGATTGTATACCACTTTGAAAGTCTCTGTGTTCCCTTGGGATGAATTGTCACTGCACGTGAGCGGAAACCAGATTAGCGTGAGGTGAACTGTCCGTACATGCTCCGAACCCTACCCGGAGGGATGCCAGAGTCTTTTGTTGGTGCAGATTTTTATACTCTGTTTTTATGCACATTCGAGGTTATTGTCGTGGTTGAGCAAAGAAGCTGCTAGAGAGTCGATATAAATTAATGAAAATTATCTTTTTCTTTGTACTGGGTTTGTCTAAAAAATAATGTAGGCATTTTCTTTTTTTTTGTTTGTTTTTGACGGTACAGAAATGATTTGCGCTTGGCAGAACGTTGAAACTTTGCGCCACATGTCGCTCGGATGCCCCAGCGGTAAGGACTGGATGCGAAGGTTTCAGCCAAATAATACACGTTACGTCGATGAGAGGTTTGAAGCGACTTCCCGATCATTATGAAAGGACACCGTTTTCCGTCGGTACCGGATGCGTAAGCTTGCTACTTGAGGCCGCAGCTCATGGATGGTGCAAGCTCTCGTTTGTACAGGCTGACGCCTTCACGAGGAAGCTGCCATGAGCAGAAACTAAAAGCACCTCGATAAAATTCACGCTTCGTGCCAGAAAGCGAGCCAGCTTCATTTATGGGCAGGGGTGTCAACTAGACGGCCTATAGCTATTCGCAACTACAGAGGCCTAAAGGTATCGCCACTCTCGGGCAGATACAACGATCGAAAACAATTCGTGCCGTACCATGTGCCAGCTCAACGTACAACACTCGAATTTCAGCAAGTAAGCATCGGACTCAAAATGATTTACCTCAATGTTGATTCACTATGTTCCAGACCTGCAGCGGAAGGTGTTGGAGTGAGTGAGCTATCCGAGGCCAGGCCTTTCTCGGGGAACCGATGAAACGACTACTATACTGTCCTTCTACCGCGCTGGTGAACTTTGGTAAACGCACGACGTCTGGTTCACGCGGTGGCGTAGGTTGAGTCTCGTGCGACCGAGGCAACACGCTGATACGACAGTAACGACTGAGTCGTCAGGACAACTGTTCGCTCTAAACAACATAAGCAATTCGAGGCGCACCTATATTCCTTAGGTTATTATGAACCACGGTTTTCCCTGCGGCTCCGTCATTGCTGCCGTTTTCGTTTGCTTTGGACACAACCAACGCAACTTCCATCGCTTCACTTCACTGGCTATCCCGCCAGACGCCGAGAACACACAATCACGGGAGCTACAAGAGACGAGCAGAAATCTAGAAAGGACCAGTTCCGTGCAGTCCAGTGTTTTTCCGCTCGGTGCCGTTCGTTTTGCTGGAGCCGCGAATATACACTTCTGGGGTGTATTCGCCACATCGTTTCACCGTACAAAGCAAAGCCTCTCCAGTGCTACAATTGCGGTAGGTTTGGTCACGAGAGAGTTTCTTGCAAGCGCTCCACGACTTGCAGCCGCTGTGGAGGACGTCATGCAGAGACAGAGAATGTCAGACGCCGACACCGAGATGCATCAACTACAGAGGGCGGCATCGTAACTCGCCATGAACGCGGTCCAGAAACCGCCATCTGTGATCCAACGTTTGCTCTGCAGAAATGTGGACGCTCGAACATTTTGTTTTAGAGTTTCATCTAAAAGTGATTGCTTCTGGCGACGAGTAAATGACCTTCGGTTTTTTCCAGAAGTTGTTACAACATCCGCAGTTATAGGAACGTTCTTCCAAAGCCAGTGAAAGCCTTCTGAACGATGTCCTATTCAGCGTCTCAACGTGCGGCATGCAGTTATCTCTCATTCCAAACTGCAGCTCTTTCGTGCTGTGGAGCAGTGGCAACACCACCTAGAATATTCAAAGCCTCCCCTAGTCTCCACGATATGCCATCACACCAGGATGGTGCAAACACTGCAATTGGCCCCGAGCCTGACGCCGAGCATCTTTCGACGCACTGATTGGACACGATACCCGGCCGAACGCCGACGCAGTGCTCGTATCCAATCTGCGTCTGCTCTCGATCTCACTGTGACAACTTCAAAATGCTAGTGCAGCGACTTCGACAACTTTAGGCGGTGTTGACCGCGAACCGCGTATACTGAACTCTCTGTCGGTAGAAGAGCTGGCATCGTCTAATCATTTCGTAATCAGCAATCACGCGCGTGCTGAAAGAACGAAAAATAACTTAAATAAAAAAAACAAAAACAAAAAAAAAACAATTCTGCTTTAGGGTACCGTATGCCGATGCATCATTAGAGAGTTTTAGGGAACCGTTTTTTCCCATCCGATACTGTACCATGGGCCTTCCGGTACGAACGGCGCATGTGCTTCTGCAGAAGACTCGCGTATGAGAAGCTCATGCCGGACAGCCTATTGTACCATATCGAATAAGCAAAAAAAAAAAAAAATGAAAGACGCTTACAATTTTCTGTAATGCCGAATTAGAGCGCAGCTCTTGAGGAGGAGGAGGGGAGGGTATGCCCCTCCCCACCCTCCGTGCCCTCCTCTCCTGCTCCCCTTCCATTTAGCGGAAAATTTTCGCTAAATTTCCCTCTACGTTTAGCAAAGAATTGCCGCTAAATTTAGCGGGGAAATTATTCCGCTAAATTGAGTCAGGATATTTTTCCGCTCAATTGAGCGGCAAAGCTTTTTCACTAAATTGAGTGGGGAAATTTTTCCGCTAAATTTAGTGGAGAAATTTACCCATAATGCAACGCGCGGTTACGCCGACGCCGACGACGACGCTGAAGCCGAAAACGGTCGCCTAAGAGCTATGCAATTAAATGTTCCCTAAAGCTCCCTATTCGAGTTTTAAGGAACCGTTTTTGCGATACGGTACGACGGGCCCTCCAGTATAAATAAGCAGTGCGCATTCAAGAATCTCAAATTTCTGGGACCTCTGGAAGTATAATTTTCTTTTTCGTCAGTGAATGAAACCCGGAGCTAGCGGTTTAAGCGTAACTATAGGTATTTGAGAAAATTCTTCGAAAATAATCAGTAATGAGCACCTAGCGCTGAACCTGTGAAGCTTATATGCTTCGAGGCGCTACGTGCGTCCGTACCAACGTTACTAAACCACTCAGTTGGGAAAGTGCCATTGGCGACGTGCGCGATCGAAAGCGTCGCTGTGGTCGGCCTTCCACGATTGGCCGAATGCTGACTATGACGTCAACAAAAGATTTTTCATCGACGGAAAT